AGTGGCATTTTTGCAAATGAACATTGTTATTTTTGCAAATATACACATAAAAAATGGTATTTTTGTAATTTTTCTTTTTTTTAAAATATATTATAAACATGGTATCAGAAAAATATGCCGTTATTTACAAGTGAAAAAGGATATATACGAATTTACGTAGATGGAAGCAAGTGTCGTAAGAAAAACAGTAAATAGGACATAATTTCGAACATTAGATTTCAAATAGAGAACAGTATTTATGCAGTCGACGAGGAAAGACAATGTATATCCATGCTTTAGATTTTCTATTATACTGTACATAGGTATATCGGTTACAGGCGCCTCTGAAGACAAAACTACGTACGTTGTTTTATATATATTCTATGCTTCTATATTTTGTTTTGGATAAAATTATATGCTTATATTATTCTTATCAATGATGTTATAGTGTACGTAACTCTTAACGTATCAGAAGTTTTAAGGATAGTCTCTATTGGTCCGTACTATTAATTTCTAAAAACATCTAAGACGATGGGATAATTCACGATCTTTTGAGTTTAACCTGCGAGCTCTAACTAATTATGGTTAATGTAGTTGACATCTTTTATGAATCTTATATATCAATCTTAAAATTAAAAAAAAAATAACTTAGTGAAACTATAGCATAAGCAACCGCCTTATAATTCTAATATAAATTAGGATAAGAATTATAATACAAAATATAATAAGTAAGATACAAACATCAAATATTTATCATAATTCTACATTGCATTGTATCCTGTCAGCAATGAAAAATAATTTTCAAAATCTAATAACCTTGTTGTTTGCTACAATCTACAAAGTGGTGTTTATATTATTACATGTATGATTTGATTATTTTTCAGATTAGATACGAGCTAGTAATGAAGCGTTTATAGATACACATTTCGTTCTATATATGTGATTTTAAAATAAATAAATATAAAAGATGTATTGTATACTTTATTCTGTGTTGGTGTGAGAATATTTATATACAAGAGGCCTGCGCTTTTATTGTGGGATGAATAATTGAATCATGTGGATGTGATATGCATAATTGGAAGGTTTCGGCGAAGAATCTTACGGCAAAAATCAAACTTAAACTATGTTTAGTTAATAATAACATATAATTATATTGAAAGTCAAAAAAGCATAGCATAATTAATAGTAATGATATCTCTATTGGTACACTCTCATATGAGATGCCTGCGACCTCGCCACCCAAAAGAATGTCAATTTTCAAACTACATTACAATTGGAACTATAATGAAAGTAAATATGTGATGTTGAATGAATAAAATGAAAAAATAAATCCACATATTATAAGACAGAAAAAAGCTCCACATATTATATTAAAGTGCAGAAAATGTTAATAAGGTTTTTTTCTTTTGATTAGAATGTGAATATTAATAAGGTTCAATTCATGACATGATGGAATATTTTCAAACTTATTTATTACCTCTC